ATTTTCGGAAACTCCCAAATTCCACAAAGCTGTCTATAAGGCCCCATCCTGCCCTGCGAAACCCTAGAAGCTTCTCCCGAACCTCCGATGCAAGCGCCACATGGCCCCAATGGAGCGGAGAGCAATGGCCATGAGTCCATCAAGCCACAGAAGAGCCTGTCCGACAATAGAGGGAGGTGTTTTTGATATGTCACTTGGTTTTCAGATCTTTACTTGCATTGCGAGTTTCAGTAGTACTGCTTTTACTATTTAAACAGCAACTCTATTGTTATTCTTACGGCCATGATGATGATCATTATTATTGCTCTTGCTATGGGTATGTGTATACGTATCAGTATCAGTATGTGTATTGGTAATCGTTTTAGTATTGGTACGGTTTGGTATTAGTATTATTCGTAATAGTCATCGTCGTCGTCGTCGTAGTCGCAGTCGTAGTCGCAATCGGAGTACGAGTACGAGTACGAGTGGTAGTAGTCGCAGGAGGAGGAGGAGGAGGAGGGGGAGGAGCAATTAGTAGGAGTAGTAGTAGTAGTAGTAGCAGCAGTAGTAGTAGCTGTAGTAGCAGCAGTGGTAGTAGTGGTAACAAGTAGTGGTAGTGGTAGTAGTAGTAGTAGTAGTAGTAGTAGTAGTAGTAGTAGTAGTAGCAGTAGTAGTACTAGCTGTAGTAGCAGCAGTGGTAGTAGTAACCGGTAGTGGTAGTAGTAGTAGTAGTAGTAGTAGTAGTAGTAGTAGTAGTAGTAGTAGTAGCTGTAGTAGCAGCAGTGGTAGTAGTAGTAGTAGTAGTAGTAGTAGTAGTAGTAGTAGTAGTAGTACTAGTAGTAGTAGTAGTACTAGTAGTAGTAGTACTAGTAGTAGTGTAGTAGAGTAGTAGTAGTAGTAGTAGTAGTAGTAGTAGTAGTAGTAGTAGTAGTAGTAGTAGTAGTAGTAGTAGTAGTAGTAGTAGTGGTAGTAGTAGTAGTAGTAGTAGCTGTAGTAGCAGCAGTCGTAGTAGTGGTAACCGGTAGTGGTAGCAGTCGCAGGAGGAGGAGGAGGAGGAGCAACTAGTAGGAGTAGTAGTAGTAGTAGTAGCAGTAGTAGTAGTAGTAGTAGTTGTAGTTGTAGTTGTAGTTGTAGTAGTAGTAGTAGTAGCCGTAGTAGTTGTAGTAGTAGTAGTAGCAGCAGCAGTAGTAGTAGTAGCAGTAGCAGTAGCAGTAGCAGTAGGAGTAGTAGTAGTAGTAGTAGTAGTAGTAGTAGTAGTAGTAGTAGTAGTAGTAGTAGTAGTGGCAGCAGCATCGTTAGATGGATATATGGCTAGTTGGGTAGACAGTAAATGACAGGCGTTCCTCCTTATGTTGGTTCATGGCATTTTGCCGAAAACGAGCTAAGGATATCCTTCTATGCTCCAGGAGCTTTTCCCAGCTCGATGCTTGGTCTTTCATACGCAGACTTTCTGATATCGGTGCTTTAGGGTTCCGGACTTCAGGTCTTGTGTGAAATACAAGCGCTTGAATAGTTAGTTCACTGCTTCCTTTGGGTGCCTTATCGTATTCGCATTACAACAGGATCCAAAATCCCGATTCTACTGGCTCAGGCGCCTATGATACCCTAAACCCTAAACCCTAAATTGCCTATAATACACGATTTCTTGTTGACGTGTTTAGGTCTTTGGGCTTTGGGAGCGGCGGATGAGAGTTGGGGCAAGTACAGAGGTTCGGTTCGTAGTGACTGAACAGGCAGCCCTGGACTTACCTCTTTGGTTAGTAGGGAATGGAGGAATGGGGTACAATTATAACTTCATTCCCTGCTAACCAAAGGCCAGTGGAGGAGCCCAGCCGTCCGGCTTGAAAGGGCTTTCCCAAAAAGGATTGCTTTCAAGGGATCTCTGGAAGAGTTTAGGGCTTGGAGGCTTGACGGTTGCAGGCCTTGTGGCTTTAGGGCTTTCAGGTTCAGGAGTTAAGGCTATTTCAGGTTTGAGCCTCGCGGTCTGTGGGCTTCAAGGTTAACGAGTTGACGGGCAAAGGCCCTTCTCAGGGTTTATAAGAACCGTCTCCCGGTGCTTGTACCGGCCCTACGCTAGCCCACATAGTATAGCCCATACTGGCCCGTATAGCGGACCTCCTAGCAGAAGGGTTTAGGGTTTAGGATGGTTTCGGGCTCCTCAAGAAACAATTTGCATCAGGGTTCAGGGTTCCTGTAAGGGTAATATATGGATTAGGGTTCAGGTCTTAGGGTGAGGGGCTCCTTTAATGGATCTTCAGGGGTTACTTGTTCTTCTATGTCCATGTGGGTTGGCGGTTGAATTATGTTGAACGATTTTGGCGAATCTTGATTGAGGTCTCAGCGTAAGTACGTGAAAAGATCTTGATGAACGGGACACTTCGATTCGCCCCCCCCCCCAAAAAAAAAAGAGAGAGAACCTTCCAAGAGGCTTATACCTAGTTTTATGGTTAGGGTCCGTTGTACAGAAAATTAAGTAGATGCCCTGCAAAAAGGTGTGAGCCTATAGGTAGCTTCTAAGACCCTTGATCCGAATCACGTGTGCACACAGGTAAGCCCTGCAACACCCTCTTCAAAACTGATACCCCCAGGCAAACCCCCCTAACCCCAAACTCTAAACCCTAACGGGGTGCTCACATCCCGAAGCGATAACCTCTTAGTCTCGGCCTGCCTTTAAAACCGTAATCCAAGCCGCCCGTAATGCCCTCACCTAAACGCGAAACCCAAAAACCTGAACTCTGTACCTTTATAGATCCCTTATAGGAACCCTTATAGCTCCATTGAAGCAGCCGAAAACCCCAAAACCCTAAACCCAAAAACCTTACACCCTAAACCCCAAAACCCCAAAACCGTAAACCCCAAAACCCAAAGCCCTGAAACCTCAGGAAGCCATCAGCCGCCCCGCCCATCTACGTCGTGGCCGGTGGCGGAAGACGTCCTCGAGAGGCGGGTTCCACGAAATCTGTGTTCTTTTTCTTTACCCTACTTGGAGGATCAGGGGACTTAGTAAGTGGGTTATAATTGGGGTTATAAGTCCCCTAAGTGGGGTTATCCTAATTATAACCTACTTATAACCTTACTTACTAAGTCCCATGAGCCTCCAAGTAAGGGCCCATGTACCCAAATAGTAGATACTTTGGGTAAGGTAGGAGGTACTTTGGGGCCAAAGTACTTACTTACATGGACCCGTAGGGTTTAAGGTTTTGAACTTACGTAGGGGTTTGGGGTTTAGGGATTGGGTGTTAGTGGTTTGGGGTTTAAGGTTCGGGTTTGGGGGGGTTTGTGGTTTTGGGTTCAGGTTTTGAGGGGTGGGGTTTGAGACTGTGGGTTTAGGGGTTTCGGGTTGGGGGTCGGGGGGTCCGTGCGCAGTAAACAGGCTTCCGGTTTGGGGTTTCTCTACATCCCACCTCCTTCACCCTAAACCCCGAGACCCTAAACCCTAAGGTAAAAGCCAGAAAGTTGGAATACGGTTATCCTGAACGCTTTATGGTAAATTATAAGGTATCCTACCCTGAAACCATATTCCAACTTTCTGGTGTTCCCTTTAAAGCCCAAACCCCAAAATTCAGCCCCAAAATCTCGAACCCCTAGAATCCCAGACCTTCCAAAAACCCTTAATTAAGGAATATACCTTAAATCATATTCAGGAAGGATCCTACTATAATTTAAGGGATATTCCTTAATTAAGGGATTTTGGAAGGTTTGGGATCCACAAGCCACAGAGCCGAGGCTGGGGAGTTGGACGGTAGACTGCGGGAAGCGGCAGGGCCGAAGGAGCTGTCTCTCGGATAAATGTGGTCGATTTCAGGGCTTGGTTTAGGGTTTAGGGCTATAGGGTTTAGGGATGGGGTTTAGGGATTCTGGGTTTAGGGATCTAGGGTTTAGGGATTTAGGATTTAGGGGTTCAGGGTTTAGGGTTGTTAATGTGTTTTTTAGGGTTTAGCATTTAACGGTCCTCTGGGTTCTCTTATAGTAGTTTAGGGTTAAGGGTTTAGGGTCTAAGGGGTTTTCTTGTAGAAGTCCATAATGAGTTTTTTAGGGTTCAGGATTTCACGTTTCTCTCATAGCTGTCTCTTTTTATGGGGCTGAGAATTTTCGCCCTTTATGGTTCAAGGTTCATGGGTACCGAGTCTTTTCGGCACGTAACACCAGTGCAGTTCCGGCCCTGCTGCGACCAAACGAACGGAGACAACGTCGCATCACTTTGCCACGCAACGTTCAAGCTCCGAACCCAGAGACTCCAGCACCCCTTAATTAATTAAGGAATATTCCTTAAATTATCGTAGGTTCCTTAAATTATAGTAGGATCCTTACTATAATTTAAGGAATATTCCGTAAATTATAGTAGTATCCTTACTATAATTCAATGAATATTCCGTAAATTATAGTAGGATCCTGACTATAATTTAAGGAATATACCTTAATTAAGGGATATTGGAGTCTCTGGGACCAGTCCTTCGAAGAGCCGGCATCATGCTTGGAGCGTCCGGAACCTGGCACCGGATGGCGCCATGATAGGGGCCTTAATCATTGGAATAGGGTTCCCTTTAAAGGGGTCCTTAAAAGCGACTATAAGGGATCTATGAGGGTATTATACTATAGGGGCCTTAATGATTAGAATAGGGTTTTGAGGCCCATTATACTGTAATAATAACAATAATAAGGAACCCCCAAAATGGTATAGGTAATTATGTACAGCAGGTTTCGCCTGTCTCCACCATCCTGGGAAAGTGTCCTTGCCGTGGCGGTTTGATCGTAGGACCACTCCCGGGCTGGAGCATTGATGTTGGGCAGTTTGGTTTGAAGATCTTCCGGGCTTGCCGGCATGTGGGGGCCTTGTATGGGCTTGTTTTCCGTACTAGGGCCACTAGGGCTTCTGCGCTACAGCCCAAACTTTAAATCATCTTAAGCCCGTGTAACTCCTAAGCGCAAAACCCCGAAGCTCTGTAAAATCAAAGCTTACCAACAGCCTCGTCAAATTCTTGAGCAGAACCCCTACGTCAAGCCTCTAAATCAAGCTAAGGATGCAACTCGTCGCCTCTCACCTCCCCCGCTTTGACATCGGAAATTTGGTCGTGGCCTTCACCAGCGCCGCCAAGTTCGAGGAGAGTCGGATTGAGGGCTCTGGGGTAGTTGCGGGATTCCTGGCGACCACGACGACTAGGGTTTAGGGTTTAGGCGACCATAACCATGACGGCGACAGCTGTTGCTGCTGCTTCTGGTCCTGGTACTAATGCTGCTACTGGTGTCGGTGCTGCTGCTGCTGCTTCTACTCCGAGTCCTTGTCCTTGTCTTTGCTCTCGTCCTCCTACTACTACTAGTAGTGTCAGTAACAATAACTAGTGCTACTACTACTACTACTACTACTACTACTACTACTACTACTGCTACTGCTACTGCTACTGCTACTGCTACTGCTACTACTGCTACTATACTGCTACTACTGCTACTGCTACTGCTACTGCTACTGCTACTACTACTACTACTACTACTACTACTACTACTACTACTACTACTACTACTACTACTACTACTACTACTACTACTATACTACTACTACTACTACTACTACTACTACTACTACTCTACTACAGGACTACTACTACCTACTACTACTACTACTACTACTACTACTGCTACTGCTACTACTACTACTACTACTACTACTGCTGCTACTGCTACTACTACTACTCTACTACTACTACTACTACTACTACTACTACTACTACTACTACTACTACTACTACTACTACTACTACTACTACTACTACTACTACTACTACTACTACTACTACTACTACTACGACTACTACTACTACTACTACTACTACTACTACTACTACTACTACTACTACTACTACTACTGCTACTGCTACTGCTACTGCTACTACTGCTACTGCTACTGCTACTGCTACTGCTACTGCTACTGCTACTGCTACTGCTACTGCTACTGCTACTGCTACTGCTACTGCTACTGCTACTTACTACTACTACTACTACTCCTCCTCCTCCTCCTCCTGCTGCTACGACAACGACTGCTGATCAGGAGTGCTGTGACATGCACCCATCCTGGTCGGGGCTCCTCGAGCGCCTTCTGGACAGTGACCCTTTCCCGCACGAAGTGGAAAAAGGGTTTAGGAATCAGAGTTAAGGGTTTAGGTTTAGGATTTCAATTTGGGAATTAAAGTTAAGGGTTTAGGTTTAGGGTTTGAGGTTAGGGTTGAAATTAAGGGTTTAGGTTTAGGGTTTCAATTCTGGGCTTGCATTTAAGCTTTAAATGTAGGGTCTGGGTTTAGGGCTTAGGGCTTAACGAAATCGGTATATCGGTGTACTTGCGCGGTCGTGCATTGCAAAGGCTGAACATCAAGATTCGAGGTTTGAGGGTGTTGAGTTCATTGTTTCCGGGTCCTAGCTGTTTCAGGACTCGGGGTTTCCGGCTTTAGGGTCTTTGGGTCTGAGGATTTTAGGGCTTTGGTTTTAGGAGCAGCTCAAGGGAACCTTTCCTGCTTCAAGGAAGTTCAGGGTTTCCAGCATGCGAAAGCCTTGGTAGCTTCAAGTGTCTCTGCGAGGACACGCATGGCCTTGCTTAGAGGATCGTGGAACTTAGTAACTATGGTCATAACTAAGGTAACTATACGTATAATCACTTATAACCCCACTTAAGTTACTTATAACTATACTTACTAAGTCCCATGATCCTCCAAGTGGGAACGCCGAAGAGTCTACTGAATGTCTCAAACACTTCAAGGATCAGGGACTGAGTAAGTAGGGTTACAGCTAAGTAAGGTACCTATACCTATACATGCATACATATGTACTGTTAGAGCACTGACGGGCCATGCTTGGAGGATCATGGGACTTAGTAAGTATGGTTATAAGTGGGGTTATAAGTAATTATAATAAGTAATTATAGTTACCTTAAGTATAACCCTATCTACTAAGCCCCATGATCCTCTAAGTAGACCCTAAACCCTAAACCCTGTAGATCCCAATAAGGAACCCTTATAGATCCCTTTTAAGGAGCCCTTTAAGGAACTTATTAAGGAACCTTAGTTACTAAGCTCCATGATCCTCTAAATGTGCTTCGCAAAGACAACGATGCGCGAGGCTGAGTTTCTAGAGCCTCGGGGCCTATCGATGACCGCCTACGCTGCTGCAAAGCTGGTCTTTGGTGATGACAGGCATGACAGGGCTGGGGCTTTTCGGCGGGTGTCTGTGTTGAAGGGGGGGGCTGAGGCATTCGGGTTTGGGCTCTGTTTTGGGGTGTAAGTCTTGGCAGTAAGAGGAGGAGGAAGAAAGTTCTAGCCGGCGATAGCCGCCAAACGCTCAATCCCCTAAACCTTAGTTAAACCCAAAGCCCTAAACCTTAAGCCCTAACCCCTGAACGCCTAAACCCCAAAACCCCTAAACACCGGAGGCTACTTGTCCCCCTGGCTACCGCCAGCGTCCGGCAAGCCCCGCGATTCGGTGCCACGGACGTGGCCAAAGCCTGCTGGGCCTTCGCACCTCGGAGTGTTTGTGGGTTTAGGGGGCCAAGGTGTAGGCTTTAGGATTTTAGGGCTCAGGGGTTTAGGGTTTAGGGTTTAGGGGTTTAGGATTTTAGGGCTCAGGGGTTTAGGGCTTGGGGCTTTGGGGCTTTGCAAGTCAAAGGCGAAGCTGCGCTTCGTGGAAGAGCCTTCGGCACGAAGCTTCTGGCAAGCCATGGAGCCTTGTCTTTAGGGGTTTAGGGTTTAGGGGTTCAGGGTTTAGGGTTTAAGCAAAGCAGCACTTGGAGGGTCCTGGGTAGTTTGAAGTGGGCTTGTATGTAGGGCAACCATAGTTTAACTTCTCAATACGGGACGTATAGTCCCACTTATAACTGCCCATGAACCTCCACGTATATCGACCTGAATACGGTTTTTGTTGCTGCTTTATGGCATAATTGTAAGAGGTAGTTATTGAAGCTTCTAGAGTACCGGGTTCCTTTAAGAGTTCTCTTAGGGTGTTGGGTTTAGGGGCTTTGATTTTCGGGCCTTCATAGGCGGTGAGAATCAGATAGGGACGATAAGGGGAGACTCTTGCTCATTATCCGGACCCCTGTAATACTAGGTTTCCATGGTGGCTCTTTCGTGATTCTATAGGGTTGGTTTTATGGGATGACATTTTCCTGAACCGTTTCGAAACGGGTGACTGCAAGAGCTTCTTTGAGGATACCCATAAGGATTTCTACAAGGCCCGTTTGAAAGGTATTACAAAGGTTTCGAGTGGGGTATTTAAATGGCTGCTACTAGGATCCCGATAAGGTGTGTGGGTGTAGGCTCGTGTATTTAAGGGTTAGGCTTTCGGGTACGACTCAGTGCTTTCCGGCTTTCTGTAGGGTGTAGACCTATAGGATTTGGGCTTGGGTGTGGTACGTAGATGCACGGCGCGTAACCCGTTAAGCCCTAAGCCAGGCCTTGTATAAGCGGAAAGTGGATACGGCCAAGTTGAACCCTCAACCCTGAACCCTTAAAGCCGCGATCCCAGGCCCTACCCTGAAACCGTAGACCTTTTAGACCTTAAACCTGGACACTCCGAATTAAGCCCCAAACCCCCCCGAACCCCATGCCTCTGAATACTACACCCCAAGACCCTAACTTTACAGCTCTATGAACCAAAAGGCAGCCCGCCTTCAAGGCCTTGGAAGACCCTGTGTAGATCTCTGTAGAAACTCCACTCTCTCCTTGCACTTCCCTTCCTGGAATCTCTGCGAGAGGCGGAGCCTGCATCACGAAACATACCGGGAGCTCGCTTTGCAGCCCGGCGCTGTAATCTAGTGTTTCTATCAGGGTTTAGTGCTTAGGGGTTCTATAGTTTACTGCTTAGGGGTTCTATGATCGAAACCATAAAGTTGGAAGATAGGCAAGGGATGGTTAGTGCTTGGGGTTTCGGGTTTTTCAGTTTCCTCGGAACCCCTTGGTGCAGGAACGTCTCGTAATCTATAGAAGGATAGAAGGTTTCTTCTCTGGCTTGCAGAAGTATACCAGGACCCCCCATGTACCCTTAAATAGAGGTATATGGCCCCAAATAATGGCATTTATGTAGGGTCTAATAGAGGGTAGATGGAGGGTCTAGGTACTATTGAGCATCGGACCTTAGAGTGCTTGTGCCACAACGCTTAACCCCGTCTTAATCCTTAAATCTCGAACCCCGAAGCCCTGAAACCTGAACACCCAAAGCCCTGAAGCTTAAATCTGAGAACCCAAAACCCAATCTTACACCCTAAACAGCACAGCCCTAAACCCTAAATCCCAAACCCCAAAGCCTCAGGTGGACGTGTCCATGATTTGCTGGGCTTTTGCTGCGACCGACCAAGTCTCTCCGGCCGTCTTCGAGGCTAGGTTCGTTCTGAAAGGTGCCTGACTATGCGGCAATAATTAGAATAAGGTTTGGCGTATCGTGTTTATACTGTATAGATATAAAAAGGACCCTCCCCTCCCCCCAAAAAAAACGTGTTGGAAATCATTTAGGCCCCGTATAGTAGTGGTTTCAAATTGTACTTACAGGGTTTACAAGTCCTCTATACACGCGCTTTGGGGGGGGTTAGGGCAGGCCTTGGGGCTTCCCTGTTAAACCTACACCAGGTCCCTATTCGTTTTAGTTTGGCCTCTATACCATCTTGGTTTAAGACTTCAGTGTTGCGCTGTCGTTGCCAGGTTGTCATGCCATGATGCAGTTCACGTCCGAGAGAGCATGCTGCTGCTGCTGCTGTGCTGATTGTGCTACGATGCCAATTCTGATACCCTAGACCCTAAACTATGACTACAGGCACATCGGCATCATCGAAGTGCCATTGTAGTTACTGGGCTTCGACTGCAGTTCGACTTTGCTATTCCTTGGGGTTCCTTTGTAATAGTACTCGTACAAAGCAGCATAAAAGCATCACAAATCCACATTCTCATCATATAATAAGGCCGCTGGCGGCCGCTATGTTACAAATGGTTATCCCAGAGCCTCCAAAACCCCTTAGTTAAGGAATATACCTTAAATCATATGATGGATCCTACTATACTTTAAGGTATATTCCTTAATTAAGGGGCTTTGGAGGCTCTGGGATGTGCCAGTCTAGCCAGCAGCACATGCTCTCCCCACTATTCCTGACATGTCTGATGGTAGTGCTGTGCTGTTCTACTGCTGGCCTCTGTTGCTTTCGAGCTCACCGCTACTTTGTCACGTTTGCTATTCCCTGGGTACGAAACCCTAAACCCTAAACCCCTAAACCCTAAACCCTAAACCCCTAAACCCTAAACCCAAAACCCCTAAACCCTAAACCCTAAACCCCTAAACCCTAACCCCTAAACCCCTACACCCTAAACCGGTGGGCCGGAAACCCTGGGAACTACTATCACTCCGCTTCAGCGGACTTTGGTCCAACCCCGAATAGGTGGAACGCGATTCAATATCCTGAGTCGAGCTCAGAGTTGTGTGTTTTATTGGCAGGGCTTTCCACAGAAGGCGGCAATATTGAACAGTTGGGCTTGGATTGACTTGTGCGTTGAAGCAGTGCTGCTGCCGTGTGAGGGTTGCTCCAGAATTGTAACTTTCGTTGTGCCTCCAACGCCCTAAATCCTCAAGCATGCATGAGCAGCGCAAAACGACCTTCAGTCAGATAAGCCCGTCCCGAGGCAGCCTCGCTGGAGACACGTTCGATCGTGCACGAGCTGCCACCACGAAGCCTAGCAGGCCGGATGTATGGTAGTAGTCGCCGGCGTAGTCGTAGTAGTGGTGGTAGTAGTAGTAGTAGCAGTAGTAGCAGTAGCAGTAGCAGTAGCAGTAGCAGTAGCAGTAGCAGTAGCAGTGGCAGTAGCAGTAGCAGTAGGAGTAGGAGTAGGAGTAGGAGTAGTTGCAGTAGTAGTAGTAGTAGTAGTAGTAGTAGTAGTAGTAGTAGTAGTAGTAGTAGTAGTAGTAGTAGTAGTAGTAGTAGCTACTACTGCTACTAGTACTGCTACTACTACTACTACTACTACTACTACTACTACTACTACTACTACTACTACTATTATTTGTCCTTGTTCGTGCACGTGCACCAGCCGTACTTTTCTTTCCAATTCCGAGGTTTCACGGCTGCTCAGCTAGACTTATGTAGACTTAGACCCGAGCAAAAGCGCATTGAGCCTGCGCCGCCGTCAAGTTCACTCGACTCTGGCCTAAGACCCCCAACATGCCAAGTCCGAACCCGAAGCCTGAAGATGCACTAGAAGAATTTGAAACCTGAAAGTCAAGCAGGAGTGGCATGGGCCTTTGCCCGTGCCCGACATCACGACCCTGGTCTCTACCAGCTGCTAGCTCGGCGTTCTGGCGAGGTGGGAGATTTGCGCTCCTAACGTGAAGGCGTAGGGCCCTGGGGAGTACTTCAGGGTTTAGAAGAGATTAGGCCTGGAGTTTTATGGACACGAAACCTGTCAGGGGCTGTTTGGTGCTTTTCTGCTTGTGGATGTTGTGGTTTTCCGGAAGGGCATGTAGCTGGGCAGCGGTCTGCCGTGAGATGCCCGGCTCAGCCTGGACTCTTCCAGTCAAGAAGTCACTCGTCAAGGACGCATCGAGAAGTATAGAGGCATGTGACGGAAGTCTCGTGACTTGTTCGACACAGGTTCGCTCGTTATTTTCGACTCTGTTCCTTAGGTTTGCGTTCGTCATTTAATTCGAGATGCTCGCTCCAGCTCAGAGTCTGTCTGGTCACAAGTCGACACTCTCCTGGTCAGCGTCATGCTGCTGCTTTGCGTACTGGTTGTTTTCGGTCGGAGGGGGTAGGTGGTGATGTTTACTTGGAGGATCATGGGACTTAGTAAGTAGGTTATAATTGGGGTTACAAGTCCCCTAAGTGGGGTTATCCTAATTATAACCCACTTATAACCTTACTTACTAAGTCCCATGAGCCTTTAAGTATGATGATGCTGGTGACGACGACACTGCTGAGGCGAGGATTGTCGTTCTCGTCCTCATGCCTGGAAGTGCGTAAGTTGAATGGCACTGTCATGTTCAGGTGTCGTCTTAAAGTCTTGCAATTTGTGCCTGTGGTTTCTACCACGCAGTTAGATATCGTTAGGGCAGGTTCAATCTTCTGACACATAGCTGACAGCTAGCTTGTATATTAAGGCCGTCACGTTGATAATCATTCGCGATTGTCATTTCGCGTTATAACCCAATAGCTTCCGTTTGCCATGTGTGATGGTATCAGATTGCAACCCTGCAAATCAAAACTTGATGACCCATTGTGATCAGTTCCCAGAAGATGAGTATCTTCGGTTAGTATTCCGCAACTCCAACGTCCAGAGAGACTCTAACCCCAAAAACACCACACCTTAGACCCTCAAAGCTCCAAACAAAACCAGAACCCTAAACCCTGGACCCGATGTGAGAACAAACAGGTGCTGTCCGAGTTTACTGCCCACGATGCCGCTTCCTTCTGCTGGGCGACCACCTCAGCGGATGTGGTGGGTGGTCTTTGCATAGCCGCAACTTAACCTACCATATCCTACAGCTGCGCAGGGTCTTCTCACAAATCTAACCCGGCCACCCTAAACCCTGGGAGCCTATCCACAAATAGGTTCCCACAGGGTCCTCTTCTCAAACTTTAAGGCCCTAAACCCTGTGGCAGAGTTTAACGAACTTCGGTCTCAGGCGGAGGAAGGTATGCTTTGTTTTTTGGGGTGCAGGCTTTGGGATTTGAGTTGACGCTGCACGGTCTAGGCCCGGGGTCGAGCTGGACCTGCCAGGACCCATTTGTTTTGGTAGAGTCACTTCAGGGTTGGTTTATATAGGGGTTTAGGGCCTTAGGGTTTAGGGTTTAGGGTTTCACTTTCATTACAAAGTACAGTAGATGTGAGGACCCTACGAAAAGCTAGCTTCTAGAAGCTTAATGTCGCCTGTCTGCCGAAGCGGGGAGAGTCGGAAGCCTCCTATGCTAGGAAGTTTGTGGCTAAGTCTAAGTTTAAGAGTTGAGGGTTTCGGGATGTTTCGGGCCGATTTCCCTAAAGTTGATGGGTTTGGGGGTTTAGGGTTTAGGGGTTTAGGGTTTAGGGTTTAGCCCTTTCTGCTAGATCAGCGGCACCCTGAACATATGCAACACAATGATGCTACTTTCCACCCGCAGAGCTGCAAACCATATTCGAACCCTGCACCCTGACGGCCCTTTAGGGCTTAGAGGGTCTTGAAGTCTAGGAGGTTTCTGAGTTTAGAGGTGCCGAAATGGAAGGTTTAGTATTTTCAGTGCTTAGGGGGCTGTGTTACTCTAAACTGCAAGCCCACATCCGTGTCCTGCATTACCCTGACCCGGAACGTAGGGGCTCGGGGTGCAGTATCCTAGCCTAATTCGAAACCCTCAAACCCCTTTCAGGGCTTCGCTACGGCAGAAATGCCGCACACGCCTCTCTTCGAACAGCTGGCCTTGCACCTCAATCAGCCCGGTGAGCGCAACGCATCCTGGCTTTTACTGATCTAGTTGAGTTTCTTTGAGACCCAAGCAAACAACTCAAGACTGAAATCGAGGGTTTAAAGCCTACGGGGGCCTGGGTCTAGGTTTCACGGCTTTTGTTTCTAGGAGTTTAGGGTTCAGGGGGTCAGGATACAAGTTTCGGGTGCAGCATGAGTAGGCACAATGCAACCAAACGAATCGCTGCGACAGCAAACAGCAGAAGAAGGCCTGGGCCCCCGGCACGGCGGGTCGAGTTTAGAGTATGGTTAAGGAGCTTTATCCGATTTTTCAAATTTGTTGTCTTGTGTTTTGTAGGGTTTGCGAGCTTAAGGAAGGCCAAAAGGCCGCATAGCGACACAAAGCATCAGCCGGAACTTGAGCTGCAGAGGCACCGGAGGGAAATCGTTGAACCCTTGAGCAAACTCATGGTACCTGAAGGCCCCAAGCATGTGCGATGCACGAAGGGAACCCTGCACAATTGAAAGCCCCTGAAGAGCCTGCTAAGGCGAGCGCCCTGAGACGCTTAAGCGCCCCCCTGGCTGCCGAGCTGTGTTGGGCCTTTGCGGCCGCCTCGATCCAGGTACGGCCATAGATTGACGGCTTTAGAGCTTCCTGGGTTTAGGCTTCGGGGTTTACTTAGGGCTTTAAGGTTTAGGGCCTTCCGGTTTTCTAGGCTCTTCGATGTATTGAGGTCTTATCGACCCAGGGCTCGGCATCTATGTCCCAGCGCCTGAGAGCTTAAAGAAAGGCGAGATGCATAGTCCCTCCTTACCTTGGGGACCAAACGACCCTTACAAGTAGGCGCCCTATACTCTGAAACCCCAAACCCTAAACCCTTCAGTTCGTCCTTTAAGTTAGTAAGCAAGGGAAAATGTTCAGCTTGGGGAGTTGATTCTTGGGGCATCTTGTCGGCGAGTCTTCAGACAGAGAAACCCTTTCTTCTTCGGGTGCCGCATGCTGTATCAATCATTATATTTCTTTCTGTGGTATGAGTGTAACTGTCTTTATTGCTTGTTTTACTGGATTAGTTGGGGTTGGTTATCTTCACCATAGAAGTTTAAAATCTTGAAACGGTAGGATTTTCAGTGTATGTAGAAAAAAGTCCTTGGAAAACATTTGTCTTGTTTGTGAACTGGTGTCACTTGTGTCCTTTGATCCTGGTTTAGGTCCTGCTAGGGATTGCAAATTCTTGGCTCTTAATCGTTCACGGTACAGATCTGATGGTAGCATTCGCTTGGTAGTGTGCTGGCCTAGTAGGCAAAGTATTGATGCTGGTCCTGCAATGGGTAGCGTAACCATTGGTTAGTATTTAGCCGGGTAGTATTTCGAACATGACGGTCAGTGCTCATTCGCCATTCTATAATATACTGGAGTATACTACAGCAATGCCCTAAAATCTACTAGGTTATATGCGGATATTGCATTATGGAAGTGCGAGAGCAAAAATACTATAATAGTGTACTACCGTGTACTATAATATATGCTCGAATATGCCATCTCATCTTTGCTTGTCTACCAGCTGCTGCTGTAACTATTACAGAAAACTTGTAAAGTTGGAACCGGATTAAGGCCAAATTTTGCTGGGATTCCCTATACGTTACTTTGATAACGATAGAAAACCCTAAACCACAAATCCTAAACCCTCCAACTTTTGGGCTTTTACCTTACTGTTGCTGGAAGCCTTAGCTCCCGACTCTGAGCCCAAAAGCCGAGACGCCCGAAGCCATGCCCTTGCAAAGGCGATGTTCGGGTTGAGTAAAGTCTCTTCAGGGTTTAGGGGTTTAGGGTTTTAGGGTTTAAGCTTAGCAGCTGAAATGAGTTGTGAAGTAGACGTTAATAACAAGATGCAAGGTAGTGGGGAATTTTTGCGTGAATGCTCAGGAGCAGCAACCACATGAACAAAGCAACATGGGTCAGCTCAGCAGGGCTTTACTCTGATGTAAAACCCTGTTTTTTAAAGGCTTGTAGAGATAAACCTTACACCCTACCTGGGGGCTGAGGGTGTAGGGGTTTAGGGACCTTCACCTACTTGTCGAGTATGCTTGGGGAATGAAAGGTCCACCTTGAGGATTATATAGGGATTATACAGGGTTTTATTGCACCGAAGTTTCCGCCTCCTCAGTTGTCTCTCCTTGTGACGGGTGATCATGGCCGATCCGCCTCGCGAGGAACTTCGAGCCGTGCTGGTTCAACTTGGCGAGCTGCGAGCAACCTTCACCGGGATGGACCAAGGTGGATCTTCGCTTCCAAATGGGAGTTTCCGAAAATACGGGACCCTAATGGAATGCCCTGAATAGTAGGATCCTTATGGTAAGTACCCCAAGATAAGGTACCCCCTAGTTTTCGGAAACTCCCAAATCGGAGAGCTGACGGACGAGGACATGAGCCTCAAGTCCAAAGACAAGTCACCTTTGAAGGACTTGGGTTTAGGGTTTAGGTCCCGCAAAAGAAAGCAGAGTTGGTGGCCTTCTGCTTGAAAGCTCTTCGCATGACCAAGTGATTGCACAGCAAATCCTACTTCTTGGAGCATTAGAAGGGGCCCCCCACCCTGTAATAGTGGTACAATAGGAATACACTAGGGCCCTAAACCCTAAACCCTAAACCCTAAACCCTAAACCCTAAACCCTAAACCCTAAACCCTAAACCCTAAACCCTAAACCCTAATCCTTCAAGACTTGTACCCTGAAGCCCCAAGCCCTCTTGGGTCGACGACTCATCAAACCCCACGCGACTTCAAAAGATCCTTGTGTGATTGAAATCCTATAACCCTGAACCCAAATCCCTAAACCCTAAACCTTGCCCTAGAAAGCCGTATAACCCTGATCCCCGAACCCTAAACCCTAAACCCCTAAACCCTAAATCCTACCCTGAACCCTGATCCCCGAACCCTGAACCTCACTACTTGGAGGCTCATGCCACTTAGTAAGGAAGGTTATAAGTAGGTTATAATTAGGATGACCCCACTTAGGGGACTTATAACCCCAATTATAACCCACTTACTAAGTCCCCTGATCCTCCAAGTATAAAGCCGCTCTGAAGCTTTGGGTTTCCAGGTGCCGCAGGCCTTCGCCACGCTGGCGGAGGTTTGCATGCCCTGTGCCCAGCTAGAAGGGGTACCTTATTAGGGGGCTCCTTTCTTTTAAGGATCCTCCTACTAATTAGGGTGCTTTCTTAGGGTCCCCTATTTTCGGATGTTTTTTGGGACCGGAAGAGAGATACAGTTCAGGGGTCGCTCTGGGGAGGCTGTCAGGGGGTCTTGCACTGCACTTTAGCTTCATAGCCTGTCTGGAAGGTAGCTACAACGACTTCTTGCAATACGCTTTAGCTTTATAGGGTTTAGGGTTTAGTATAGCCTGTCTGGAAGCAGGTAGCTACAATTGCAACTGTACGAAAGATATTGGCTACGACTGCAAAAGTTCACCGGTAAGGTCCAACATGGAAATGCTGGAGACGGCAACTTGGCAGCAGCAAGCCTTCTGATGGCCGGGTGCAGTAATGCAGGCGCCTCAATAACTAGAATATTGTTTGGGGGTTCCTTATTCAAACTTTAGTATAGTATACCCCAAAACCCTATTCTAATTGTTACGGCCCCTAGAGTATGAACCTCCTCATCTCATATTTAAGGCCCTACTCGAAGCCCTTCTCCACGAATTAAGGCCCGGAGCCTGAGCCATTGGCAAACCTGTGGTATGGGTCCTATTTCAGGACGAAGGCTTTACACTAGTAGCTGTGCCTAGCCAGCGTGCAAGGTAGTGTATAGTATAGATTGTCCTGCACGCTGGTGCCCAACATTCAGGGGGTTGAGGCCTGTCCAAGGCCAAGAATCTCAATCTCCCAGCTTCATGCGCCTCATCAGGCAATAAGACAGGCTGTAGACGATCAACTTGCTGCTGGGTGATAGTCACGCTGAATCTCAGCGTGATTTGGTTTGGTACTGGACTGCTCAAAAGCCTCCCTAGCCTCCCGCCCTTGCTTGTGAAAGTGGGTGGAAAATAAGAAACCGGAAACAGAAAAACTAGGATTTAGGGTTTAGGGGTGTAGGGTCACATTTAGGGGCGCCACTGCGAGGACGATGACTGCTTCTGCTACTCCTGCCATGACTACTGACTACTACGACTACTACTACTACTACTACTCCTCCTCCTCCTCCTCCTGCTCCTGCTCCTCCTCCTGCTCCTGCTCCTGCTCCTGCTCCTGCTCCTGCTCCTGCTCCTCCCCCTCCTCCTCCTCCTACTACTACTATTGCTGCTACTACTACTGCTACTCCCAGCTTTGGTGCTACTGCTGCTGCTTCGGCTTGTGCGACTCTCTCACGACAATAAATCTTTTAGGCTCGTCCACGAACTTCCATATTTGTCACAGTATTAGTGCCCACATCTCGTCCAGTCCTGGTTTGTACCAGTGCCACAACTTGTCACACACCTAAGTGGGAGTTTCCTAAAATTAGGGGTACCTTGTTTGGGGGCCCTTATAGAAAGGATCCTACTATTTAGGGTACCATATTAGGGTCCCCTATTTTCGGAAACTCCCAAGTCCTAAACCGTAAGGAAGACGTCGTCGGATTTGCTTGGGCATTTGCGACCGCACACCTGGACAACCCGACGGTCTTCCGTGCCATCGCAGACTATGCAGAGAGGCCTGCTCAAGCAAGAAGTCTTAGGCTTACTTCAGAAACAGCCGTAGTATCGAATAATAAGTTAGAGTGGAAGTCTATCCTGCAGTATATATATATATATATATATATATATATGTAGCTAGTATCTCGATGATATGTTTCATGGTTTAAGGTGACATGTATATTGTCTGTCGGTTCACGGCTCAGCAGATTGAGGGTTTGGGGGCCTTAACAATTGGAATGGGGCTCGGGGGCATATTATGCAATAGTTCTAAGACCCAAAGCCCTACTCTAATTATTAAGGCCCTTACATTACACTTAAGGCATGGGAGCTTATGACTTTGCGGTGAGGGTTTGAGGGTCTTGAGTTCAAGGCTTCCAGCTTGAGGACGGGGACAGCTTTTGCGGTGTAGGACCCGCCCTTGTTCCTACTTCTCAGTTTTCATGGCGAAATCCCACAACGAAGAGGGCAAGGGATGATACTCGGGGGGACCTAGAACAAACTTGAGCCTCGCGACAATGCATGCCTCCAGGCCTAACCCCACCCCGAGTCAGTAAGGCAGCAGTTGGCAAAACCGTAGTGGGTTCGGGGTTAGGGCCGGGTATAGTACTGGTGGCAATCATAGCACAAAGCCGAACGCACACTGATTTCTCTGCTGTCGCTATTCGCTATTCTGGCTAGCCCAAACAGTCCATACTGTCTGATGTTAATGGATGCTTTTCGTCGTCGTTCCCACTCTTGTGGCTACGTAGTTTATGGACGCTTCTTTGGTGGTTTGCTGGTACTATTGCTTTGACAGTAAAGGATGTTCAAAGACAATTTCGTTGTAAAAAGGCGATTTTACACCCACAGGTTTGCTGGCCGCTTTCGGCCTGCTGAACTGCAAGTCCTGCACTTCCGGCTGGTCTTTCGCTGCTTCCCGTAAAGCGGCGTTTAACTCCTACTACCTACTATCTACTACCTA